ATAGCACAGTGAGCGATCTAATGGCAGGAGTCGGTAAGATTGAGGCCTGGGTCCGAGAAAATGTAGCACGTCTGCTCTGCATGGACGTGAATGACTCGGAGGAGCTGGCGGCGTGTGTGCTGGCCATGCCCTGCGCCACTGACAAAGAAGAGAGGGAGATCAAGCAGCTAATAAAAGAGTTTTTGGGAAGCTCTGCGGAAGTTGAAACATTTGCCACAGAGGTGGTGCAGAGAAGGAGACGTCCAGGGGAAGGAGTTCCCGTCACGGAACGGGCCGACGAAGCGAAGGGGGGAACGCAAGCAGGCAGCGACATAGATCGCGGAGGGAAAAGTGGTAAACGCCAAAATGCTAAGGAAGAAAGGGGAGAAATGATGAAGCCTCCTGGGAAGGCTGTGCGTGACACGACCGCGCAGGAAGAGGCGGAGGATGATTTTTGGGGCACTCTCTCGTCTACTTCACTTCATCGTTCCGATGCTGCTTCTGCCTGTGGTGGGCGTCAAGACAACAGTACGTCAGGCAAAAGGCAAGGTCGTATGGAAGACAAGGCAAAATCACAGAGCAGGGAAAGCGAAAGGGTGAGAAAGGGAAAAAATCAAGGAGGGGGAGGACGAGCAGTCCCTGCTGCTAGCGGCGGGGGCAGGGATGTGGTCTGCAGGCAGCCCCTAACTGCTTCTCCTACTGACGATTTCGCCTATCAGCCTTCAATCATGGCCCGTCCCGCGCCTTTTCCATGTCACTGCATGGGTACTTGTCACACCCCTCTCGGGAATTGCTTGCGGTGCGGTAAAGTGATATGCTCCAAGGAGGGATGGACAATCTGCTCGTTTTGTAAGACAGACCTGACTAATCCCGCTAATGGTTATCGCTCTCGTCCTCCGGTCCTTTTGCGTTCGCTCGCCGCAAGGGGCAAGCTAGCGGTGGAAAATGAGAGTAAGGAAGTGAGGGAGGACGTGAAGGACGGCAGTGAACGCGCCGACGAGATGCGGGATCGGTTGTTGGTGTTCGATTTGAGCATGGCCGAGCGCACAAAAGTCTACGACGACCAAGCGGATTACTTCCCGGGAACGTCGGGGAACATGGCCTGGATGGACGAAAAAGAGTGTGAGGAGGAGGAACGGCGGGAGGAAGAGAGGAGAGAGAAAGCGAGCGGAAGGAGGGGCCCCATGGAGTTGAGCATAGATCTGGCAGGTAGGAGGGTTTTCCTACAAGATAGTGGGATCGATACTGGCAAAGAGGAGTCGGACGCAGGCAGGATTGGTACAAATGAAGCGGCGGAAGAAGTTGCCAGATTAGCGTGGGAATTGAGTACGAGCGGGACGTTGGAGGGAAACTACGATAGGGAAGGAGCAAGGAAGGGAAAATCAGGGGTGTCGAGGCTGAGTGGGCGAGCACGAGAGGTTTTTGAGGGTTTGCACGCGCATTTTGGGCGCATCAAATCTAGTAATTATGCGAAGGAAAGAGAAAAGAGGCAAGGGCACCCGGAAGGGGAGGATGCTGAACCGAAAGCCGAAACTTTTTCCTCGCGCAGCCGCGTACAGACGACGTCTGATAGATTACATGATGATGAGGAGATGGAAATCGAGGACTTGTAACTGCAACTAACGGAAGGATACAAAAAGGGTATGTCTACAACGAGACGCTCTAGGAAAAGCCAATTTGTGCGATAGTATCTGATATCGTTCATCTTTTATTTGAACCCTTTTCTTTTTATTCCTAGGCTCTGACTTGCTCCTCAAATCACATATAGGTAGAATGGACGAGCCTGTGCACTCTCTTCAAAGAAATGCATCGCATATTTCTTCCCTTGTGACACAGTGCACCTATGGAATGATGGGCGATCGGTGCTGCGTACAATTCCACATCATATTTGGCCTCCACTTCTACCCTCGCGGTCGAGTGTCCGAGCTGAGATCAAATGCTATTTTCCGACTCAACACGCAATATTTCATGAAGATTACAAAATACGAATTCTTTCTTCTTTCATACGTACAAACTAGTTCCTTATATGCACTAAAGTCTGGTAATACCTTCCGCCTGAAGCGTCCCAAGACGTCTCCCAGTTTCCACGAGAGATGAATCTCCCTGATTCCCTTTTTATATGGGTTGAGAAAGCGCTTTGAAAATGTCTATGATCATTCTCGACGCATTCCATTGTCCTCAGTCTCTCAAACCTTTATTTCCCCTCTAGCTGTTTATGGGGTCTTGATAATTTTGTTGGAGTGAAAGTCCCCGTAATCCTGTCAATACGTTCCTTCCTCATTTGGACGATATTCTCATGCGTTGTCATTTTTATGCTTTTTGGTACTTGCCGCACTTTCTTCCTCCTCTGCTCGACCTCGCTTGCTGCCGCCATCTCTTGCTGTTTCTTGACCCCAAGGCTTTTTTGGCGCGAAAGAAAAATTGACGGGTAAGCAGGAGGAAGAAGACGTAGACCCATTCAGGAATGAAGGAAGTAGCGGAGGCAGATGAAAGGGTGGGAAGGAGAGAGGAACAGAGGACGGCGTGGAAGCCAGAGAACCGAGAGAATCAATGCTCATGCCTCCATAAGCATTCGGTAATGCATACGATGCATAGGAGGGCGGGAAAAAGGAGGGATATGCATCATTACCCCGGATCTGATTGATGCTTTTGGCATGTTGCTCTGGAGTAGGGAGCGGGGCGAAGGGAGCCAAAGCAGGGTTGAGAGATGGGGGTACAAGCTTCTTTGATGCCTGTTGCTGCCCACTTCCACCTGTAGCGGACGAGAAGGAAAAAGCCAACCCTGCTCCTTGTTCCCCTCTGGTACCACATGAAGACAGGGAAGAACCACTGCCGGGGAGTGTGGTCGCTGCGGAGATAGGGGTGAGGGCGCAAAAAAGATTTTTTCTTCCCTTCTTCCCTTCCTCTTTCCCAATTTTTTCTCCTTCATCGATCGTTTGTTCCGGTTCCGTTTCCTTTGTTGGCTCCCCTTTCACGGGCTGCATTGTGGACGCTGCAAGGAAAGGCGTGTAGGAAGGGGCAGATGCAAAAGGAGGGATAGAGAGATGCTGATTGCTATCGACCAATCCAGAGGCAAAGAGCAGGTCCATATCGAAGGGAAAAGAAATAGGAATGGGGGTGGAAGCATTTCCACCATCTTCCTTGAGATCAGCAGAAGTATCCAGGCAGACCGGAAGTGAAGGGTTGGATTGGTGCTGCTTCGATGACGCGTCGGAGAAAGCGGCAGTCAGCTCCCCTTTTGTGCGGATAGGTGGTGGGATGGCAGAGACAGGGGCGACGGCGGCAGTGCCCAAAGATGGAAGATGGGAGAATGAGGAGGGAAGATGGGAGGACGTGGGGTCCATCACTTGACCCGAGGAGGTGTGGGACGAAGGAAAAGGAGGAGGTATGAAGGTGGAAGGCATGGAGTTATAAGGACGATGTTGCCCTGAGGCCACATTATCCGTGCCGTCTTTGCAATGCTGTAAGTTTTTCTTGCCCGCCATGGCCTGGCTCTCATCCTCACTCTCCGACGGCGAACTGCGCTTAACATTTGCAGCCGAGGGGGGCGTCTGGGGCCACTGCACTGACGAGGAGAAGAGGCTCCCGCTGAAACTGAGATCCAGAGGTAGAGTCGACTCCCCCCCTCCCCCCGCTTCGCGTGCTTTCTCTTTGTCAAGATTTTCTTGCCCCTCGAAAAACTCCTGCAGGAAAGAGCTGGAGCTGCAACTCGTCATCAGGAAGCCTAATCCACTTCCTAGCCCCAATTCGCTCGACAACGGCCAGCTTTCACCTTGTTGCTGCTGCGGCTGCTGGCCCGGAAGCAATCTGCAGGGATGAGAGAGGACAGCGTCTTCTTCGATGTTTTGGGCAACGGAGGCCCTTATAGAAGCCTCCAAGTGTGCCTTGTCTCTGTCCCCTTCATCCCTCTCTGTTTTTGTGCCCAGCTCCTTGCCTTTTGTCCTGGCATAAGCCCTGCCCCCCGTCGCCGAAGCAACCACCATCACGCTGTCGTCTTTTGCTTTCTTAGATGAAGACCCTTTCGGTCGACCGCGGCCCCGCTTACCCAAAACTGGCTTCTTCTCTCCTTCCTTCTCTTCTGTTGTATCGCATTTCCTTTTCCCGCCAACCTGCACCGCAGCAGCCGAGAGCCTGCCCTGGCTAGCGAGGCTTGGGCCCCGACAACCGGAGGCGGCGACGTCGGCCGCAGGGGAAACCAGGGACTTGGGCGCGATGGAAGAGCCATCTACAGCAACAACTGTGCCCCCTGATGAAGGTATGCTCATCTCGTTGCTGCTTTTGCAGTTGCTTTTGATGCCGCAGGTATTTCCCGCGTCAAGATTTGCGGCTCGAGTCGTTCCCGAGGTGTGTCCGGGTAAGGGAAAGGAAAAAGCTAGCTGCTGCTGGTGGAGCTGGTGCTGCAAGTTTAAGAATTGTCGGTAATAGTACAATTGTTGCGGTGTCATGGATGTAGGCAGCATGGGCATAAAAGGAGCGAAGGTTGTAGGACCAGTCTGAGCGTAAACGTTCAGTGGTCCCGCTCCATTTATCCCCTTCCCCTCCACGAGTGATTTATCGATAGGTGAGCCCTCACATATCTTCGTTGCGGGGGAAACCTTTGAAGTCGAGGAGCGATCATCCACCTGAACGTTACGAGGACTAGGAATGGGCATCAGAAGGTGAGAAGCCTCTGCAGCTCCACAATCTCTTGCATTCTTTTCCCCCCCCTTGCATTCCTTCGTTTCGGCCGTCGTTGAGGGCGTCATTTTTTCCGCGGGCGTAATCTCTGTCAGCATAGTAGCCGCTGTTGATTGCATCTTTTCCCCGTGGCCAGCTGCAGCTCCCACGTGTGTTGCGTTGGAAGTAGAAGCTGCTTGGACAGCAAGCGCTGCCGCACTGGGCACTGGAGGAGGAAGAGACGTTAGTGGAGCTGGCAAGGAGAGTGCGGAAGGAAGCGAAGGTAGAAAAGGTGTGTGGTGCGCCGCGTGCGGAGTCACGTCGAGAGGGGTTATAGCCTGGGCGATCGAAGAACAACCTTGGACATCCCCCCGGCCCTCAGACCCGTTCTTGACATCGTCAAGGGTGCGAGAAAAACGAGTGCTGGCACCCTTTTCTCCGATGGTGCTGCCAAGGTCATTTAGGTTGAGGCCAAAGTTGTTTTTCAAGCCGCCCCGCTGCTTGCTTCCCGGCAGTGGAAGGTTGAGTGTCTTTCGGACGGTGGGGTCTAAATACGTAGGCGGCGGCGGTGGAATGCCTAAGCGCGCGTAGAGAGCAAGGGCTTGGCTCTGGTCCATCTTGATCGTGTTTGGGAGTGAAGAAGGCAAGGTGGTGCTGCTACTGTTGCTTCCGTTGCCTTTATTTGAGACTCCACTCCCAGCCCCTCCGCCGCCTTCCCCCTGGTTGTCTGTCCCTTTTGCATTCCCCTCAGCTCTCGGTGCAGCTGTCGCCATCAACTGTTGCTGATAAGCAGCGAGCAAAATGGGATTCCAGGACTGTTGCTGGGCCATCTCTGCTTCTCCCCCTCGTCCCAGCATCATGCAGTCAAATCCCCATCCCAGTCCTAGCACACCGTTTCGATAGCAGTAGCCCTCTTCCGACTGCTCCAGCGTCGTCCAAAAGCGTTTTTCCAATCTTTCCAATTCCTCCTTTGCTCGATTCACGTCCTCAGGAGCCACACCCTGTCCTACCTCTCCTCTCTGTAGATGTGGCTGTAGAGCTTGCTGTGCACCGCTGAAAGCCTTTTTTCCGATACAGCAAGCACCGGTGAATTTCTTTGTGACGCGCATGGGGTCGCACTTGAGTTTGTGGGAGATGTACGCCCGTAGAGTCTGCCCCTCAGGCAGCTGAAGCAGACCGCGGTTAAAGTAGTAAATGAGTCGAGCTGTATACTCCTCTTCCTCGACGGTCCACTTTCCTTTCCGCAAGATTCCAGAGCCGTTGCTGGTGTTGCTCTCACACGCCCTGAGGCTGCTGCCGCTGCCGCTTATCTGCGTGGTACCACTGCCGCATTCCATCGATCTTGTAATTGCTTCAACCCCCGTGGATGGGTCTAGCACCAACGAGGGGCAAGATTGCTTCGTTTTTCCCTTTTTAGCAGGGGTTTCAATATCAAGAGAGACGCTTGCCACCGAGGGCAACGCTTCAGCGGCCATTTCCTTCGCTTGTGGGCATTGGATCTGCTGCTGCGGTTCCTGTTCCTGCGGAGATTTATGTTCTGGGTGTTGTCCTTCAAAAAAATAATCCTGGTCGTGATAATAATTGAATGGAGGAGAAAGAGGAAGATCTCTTCCCTGTACACAAGTATCGTCCAGCAAAAGTCCCTCAGTCCTTCCTGCCTGCGTCAGCCCCTCATCCTCCCCAATCTCGAGGAGGTCTTCGTTTATCAGAGACCCAAGGGTACCGCACGAAGGAAGTTTGGAATGTGATATTATTCTGCCTGTCTCCTCGTGAAATTTGTCGACTTCCAAACCGGAGTGGGAGTTTTCCCTCGAATGGTTGGAAAGAGTGTCCAGGGTAACATGCTCGGTCGTCGAATCCGAGGAAATGTCAGAGCTGGGTGCCTTGCAAGGATCGCCACTCTTATACTTTTTCTTCTGGAAAACGTCAGCAGCACGTACATTGCCGTTTGATGGGTGAGTTGAAGAAAGCGAAGTTCTGTCAAATTTCTGATTTGTCTCATCTGTGTGCTGCTGCTGCTCAAGTTGTTTGAGGGACTCTGATGACTTGATTGCTTTTCCCATGCTTCCCATTTTCAACTTTGATGCATATGAATAAGTTCTCGTTGGGTTATCGACAATTAAGTCGCAGGACTGTGAGACAGGAGAGGTCATAGCCGCTGACCCGAGAAGCGACGACACGCAGGGTTCACCGGAGGGTGTGGGTGCAGGAATAAACGAACGCTTATCCGTCGATGGCTTAATCGCTCTTATATTGTCACCAACTATCTTAGACGTACTATCTGATTGGGATTCTGCTGGGCCCTCGAGTACAACTGAAGGCTTTTCTACAGGCTGAGGCCGAATGTCCGTAGACGCAAGAGCCCCAGGCATGGGGAGCGGGGAAGCATCCACGTTTTTCACGAGCTCGTTTTGCATCAATAGGTACGATAAATGTGTTACCAGATAAATGTGTCACAAAGATTCACCCTTTGCCCCGAGTTAATGGGCAGATCCCAAAGAAGAACCAGGAATAAAACGGAAGGTTTGGCTGTCATGAGAGTGGGAAAAAAGGGATGCAATAAAAAACACGTTAAGGCCATTTTCTCCGGGGCAAAAGTATTGGTGAGCCAAAGACATGACTTAATCGTCCTGATATTGCATTTAAACGTAAGAAGGATACAAATTGGAACTTTACAATGCATAATTTGACCAGCGAAAACTTTCGAGGCAGCCCGACCGTTGGCAGTCGACGACTGACAGGCTTCGCGCACTTGATTTTCTTTAAGTGAGAGTCATCAGCGCGTGAAATCAAAATACCATTCAGCGCACTACCTAACAATGACATACTGCAAAGGAGTATGTTTCTCGGAGCTTGGCACAAGTTTGATATCGTGTGCCGGGCGTTGAAGCATGTGGACCGCCTGCTTCAGACATCTTCGGGCGCCGACACGTCGGTCGATTCAAATTTAAATTTGAAAATTCAAAATGAGCTGCCCGTTGATGAGCAAGACAACAGATGCGGTTCGTTCCTCGAGTAGTGCGCGTGTCCGGTACCAATGATGTATATTCCTTTACTTTGATAGAACACGCTTAACTTTTCGTACCTTATTATTATTTTTTTTCACTCTGACAAGCGCTTATAACTCTCAAGTAATTCCTTTCTCGCTCTCCTCGTTTTGAAGTACAACTATCAGTCCAAAGTTCCTTGAAAAGTCAATACAAAACTTTGCACATATTCGTCAATATTTGGAGATACACCGGTTGATTGCTGGAGGTACGCACTAGTGGAAAATGAAGAATGACGACGAAAAGCATGAGAACAAAAAGGATGGAATGATGCCAGAAAGTTCTTTCTCTCCCCTCCCACTGTCTTGATGCTCACCGTTCCATCCAATAGATTATATCTTCTCCTCGGAATTGTGCTTCGCTGAATTCTTTGCAAAATATTTCGTCTTGTGGACAAGTTCTTGCAAATGTGACTGAATACAGTACATTCAGGTCAGGATAGTCGTGCTCTGAGAGGTACAGAGCTGGAGCTTCGCGTCCATCTGTCTCTCGAATAGTAATGGTATGATTTATCTCCTCGTAGCCGAGCTGAGATGTCAGCATGATGGAAGAATAGGACGAATGACCCAGGCGCTCATGTTGCACGCCCACTACGATAAAAAATTTGTCGAGTCCAAACGGCTGATCGAGCGCGGCCGAGGTCCCGTACCTGTAATTCAGGTCGTTCAGAGCGGTAATTAGTCATCAAACGTCCAATAGAATATTTGGAAAGCGATAACGTCGACGAACCTGCAGTCTGTTGTGCCAAAACCACAACCCCCGGCCATCATCAAGGGGTCCACGGCGGCGATAAAGCTGTTGTTGTTCAGACACTGGTTGCGGGTACCTCGGTCGTTGGGAACGGCTACAATTTGCTCCTGTCGAAGCAAACGGGCGTGGCCGGATGCTGTTTTATTGGCGATGATGGCGGCTAGCAGGGAGTGGATTGTGGGAAGATAGGTCTTCCAGAAGCAGGACGCAGAAGAAGGAATATCGAGAGTGAAGAAGAGAAAGGACAAGGAGATGAAGGTGAGTATGTGGAAGATACTCGCCAAGAATTGCCTTCTCCACCCGAAATGTTCCAAATTTCATATCACCTGCTCGCTCTCCCCGCTTATGTCGCTCAAGAGCCTCTGCTCTGGAACGCTCCGTTGGTAGTGAGGCAAATCCGGGGCTTTGATGAAGAATGCAGGCCATGGATGCGAGGCCCATGCGTCTGCCGCGGCTGTGCGAAGCATAGGAGTGAAGACCATGAAATACGCGCGGAGGCATGGACTGAGGACGAAAATTGAGGTTGCAATGCTGGCCAGGTCAGCGATGTCATAGCACATAATTTGAGAACATCTTCACGCATGAGAGTGGCAATGCTCACTATCTACGCGCCAAAGCATAGTCAAGTACGTGCTAAGGACTGTCCGGAGAATACAGACCTTTGTCCTCGAAGTAACTGACGCGGCAGAGCACGGAAAGCCGGTCCGGGTAATTCCACTCGAACGGCTTGGACCGATCATGCAGGCGGATCGTCTGTGCCGATAGAGGATAAAAATTGCTTGCCCTTTCCGCAAGACCCGCCTGGACGAATGCCTCCGTAATGGTTTGATATACTTCACGTGAAGGGGAGAAGACGGCGAGGGACAGGGAGTTGAAGAAGGAGGACGGGTCCACTTTACGAGCGGCAGTAGCCGTGCCTTTAGTCGTATTCATGACAAGATAGTTCAGAGGGTTGCTGATCTGGGAGGGGCGGGAAAGGAACGAGGTGATGAGTGCGCTCAAGTCAGAGGGCAGCCAGTTCGAAGCGAACGAGGTGTCTGGCATGTGCTCTGAAGGATTCAGCACCTACCTCGGCGAGGGGCATGTGGACGACCAGACTTGCATCCCCGCGGCCGCCTCCTGTGTCATTAAACAAGACCCGGTTCGTCACGTAGGAGGTGAGACCAAAGTACTTCGCGGGGGGTGGAGTGCAAAAGAGCAAGACGATGGCCTCCCCTCGCTGGATAGAGACGCCCATGAGCTGGTCGGAGACGGGCCCGGGGGGAGGGCTTGGGCCGTTGTCCGAGGAGGGATCGAAAGGCCACTCGGCAGGAGGGTAGTCGGGTGGGGTCAGGAGTCGATCCGTGTCGTTGAAGGCCGCAAGCATGTAGAGCGTGTTCGGGTTCCCCCCGACCTGTTCTCCGTTACTCGGCCGCTGGCCGAATACAAAAGAAGACGAGGGAAATGATAGGAGAGCTGAGTTTCCAATACACTGGCTTTTCTTGGGCGTTTTCCATGGAAAAGGACAGATAGGATCTTAAAACAGATAAAGGAGGCAGGCGCTGTCTCAGTCGCTATTACTTATGCTCCCCGACGCCCGTAAGTACCCCCCGTGCTTACATGTCCCGCAAATATGCCGGGCTTGACCACTGTGAAGTCATTCATCTTCAGTATCTCCAAAGCTTTCAGAGCTATGGTCGCGCGACTTTCTCTGTCCACATCGCATTGAAAGGCCTCCCCTGACCGTCGGGGAAGAGGTTCTTCCTGCTCGACATTCGCATTCCCAAAAGCCTGGCCGAGGCTGGTTGCGACAAGGAGAAATACCAGCGCATCTGCTAGAGAATGCATGGTGATGGCAGATTTTCCCCCTGACGCCTTTGTTGTTCCACTGTGGAGGTAGCATGAGCCGCGATTTGAGGTGCAGTCAAGCGGCCAGATTGCACGAATCACAGGAAATCAGGGGATTGATCGTCAGTGAACCACTCAGCAACGATATGCACATCAGGCCTCTCTACATGGCTCGGACATTCCCTACCAATAAACAAGAAGCTCAACACACGTGTGCCTTGAAACGCGTATTGCGCGTAAGACCTTAAGCGAGGCACTGACGTGTCTTGAGGACGTCATTTAAACATATGGGCCAGGGGCAAGCCTGAGGCTGCGAATTGATTCCTTACGTCATTACATCCTGTCGCTCCTTTTTTGAAAGTATAAATCTTTCACAATATTTCTTGGTGTGTCTTGTCGGGAAAATTACTTTCTTTTTCAACCATTTTTTCCCTGCTCTCTTTTTCTCCGGTAAGAAAGCCCTCAGAAGACCTTGGCAATGGTGAACATTCTGTTCAGTTCCGTCCGTAACAAATATCTACAGGCAGGAAATCTCCTATATAACCTTTTTTCCTGTCGTGGAGATTGCCTTTTAGCCACGTTCATCCACCAAGCTACACATAGTCCTCTCGCTCCTCATCCTCAAGCACCATCTCGTCCACCGTTCCCTTCAACTGATCCTTTTTCTCCTGGACACACAGTTCCATGCTCGGGAAAACATCTTCAAAAGCCTCCATGAGCTCGTAGCGCACTTGAGCTGTCGTTAGCTCGGCTGCGACATGAGGTGAGAGGAGGGTTTTGAGGCACCTGTGTGGGATGCGAGAAGCAAAGGGAGCTTGGACTCGACGCTTCAAAGCAAAGGCAACTTATACTCGACGTTTGAAAGCTGAGGGGAAGCACAGACTCGCCTCGTCGCTCCACTGTGAAGGACAATTCCACAAGATGCCCGGCACATTTTCTGCTGTGTACTTACCCGACTCTACGGTCTCTCACGCCACACGGCACAATCGACTCGAAAGCCCGTAGGTCTGGGTCTACATTCAGGGCTAGGCCGTGGCAGGTCACCCACCGGCTCGCGGAGACGCCGATCGCGGCCACCTTCGTCAGCTCCTCCCCCTCCGGGCCCTGCTCTTTCACCCACACGCCTGTGTGTTTCTCGTCCCGCTGTCCCTCCACCCCGTGTAAGGCGAGCACCCGAAGCACCACCTCTTCTAGGCCCCTGACGTACCACCGCAAATCCTTCTTGTGGTGCGTCAGGTCCACCACTGGGTAGATCACTATCTGGCCGGGACCATGCCAAGTTACTTGTCCGCCTCGGTCCGTTTTGAAGACCTGAGGTAAAAAATGAAACATCGCTAGTCGGCTCAGACGCCTTTATCATGCAATGCATGGAAGTTGCACGCCTCTGTCTGTGTACTCCTCGTTCACGACGCACCTCAAATCCCCGCCCGCCCTGGCCAGTACCCTCCACCAGAGGAAATTTAACATCCCCGGGCTTGGCAGAGCGGCCTAATG